TCTTCCATGCTGGGGCCAAGTTTGCAGGAAGAAAACGCCCTGCAGGAGCACGGAGATGCTTATCCCAGGCACGAGCAGCAGCATCCTGTTGCCTCCGGCAACCCTGACGCCGCCCCAGGGACCCTAGCCCCCTACCCCTACAGCCCAGCCAAAGGGTCCGCCTCGGCTCCAAAATTCAAGCTTCCCTATCAGGTCACGCCGTCCAGGGAGAGCGGACCCAGCCAGGCGGAGAGGAGGTTGGAAGCCTTGACACTGGAGCTGGAGAAGGAGCTGGAGATGCACATGAAGAAGGAATATTTTGGTAAGTGGCATCCTCTTGCTTTTCTCTGGGAGTGCAGTGGCTGGGCCAGGTGGTTGGGGGGGGGTGAGAGAAACTGGTTTCAAGTTGACTTGCTGTGTACATCTCAATAACGGACTGGGGGAAAACAAATCCAGTAATCGCTTGATTTTTTTTTTTTAACCTGCTGGTTTGTAGTCCTGAAAGGCACAACATGAGAATCATTAGCTTGTAAACATCAGACTGATAAAAGATGACCCCTTTATAGGATTTTATGTGTAACTGTTTTACCTTTAGGAAAATAGTCCCTGACGTTCACGTCTGTTCTGTAGCCAGGCTATTTAAATAGGAACCTACTGTTAAAGTCTGCTATAGACCAGAGCGAAAAAACCGTCTTTCAAAAAAAAGTTTTCTTAATCGTATCCCTCTATCTTTAGATTGCATTTCTCCTGATCCATTCCACCAGGTAGACTAGCTCAAGTTCTCCCCCCCTCCCCGCCCTCCCCCCCAGATGCTTTTTAGCCCATTTTGCTGTCAAAAATCTGGGGGTTGTTTGTTTTGGAGCTTCTCTCCTTGTGTTTATCCTTTCTGCAGTTTGTCGTTTTCTTTCCTTTGGTGTGGTTGGCAACAATGCCTAGTCTAGTGTATTCTTGAAGCACTTGTTTGTGCTAGTGTGGTTTGGTATGACATGGTTAATTATCTTTCCATTCTAAACTGAACTTTTCAGGGCACCCTAACTCAGCATAGATGTTAGTGTGATTTGAAATAGGTAGGTTTGAAGCCTTTGGTCCAATGGGCAAACTGGGGAAGCCGGGATTAGGACTTGGTTCAATTAAAATCTTTGTCTTGATTCAAGATGAGAGAGGAGCATAGGAATCTCTGGTGCAAGGCCTTGCTTGACTCTTCACAGCACACTAGTCTGACTCATCTTGGATTTGCACCTAGGAAGAGCTGATTGAGGTGATGGGATCCTTTCCTGCCAGGAGGCAGCTAAGTCAGCCTGCTTGTATATCTTCTCCTTTCCTCTCTGTGCTTCTGTCTTTCTGAACAATAACAGCTCTGGGGAAACAAATGCATTTTGCAGTTCGTCTGCAGTGTAAGTTAAGCCCATTTGGTTTTTTTTTTTTAAATGAAAGGAAATGGCCAAGATATTTGCATATGAAAGACAACTACAGAGCTCTTGCAAATACTGCCCCATTCTCTACAGGTGCTAGGGATCTCCAGTGCAGCCAAATGGCATGTGGTAGGAAGGCTTAGGCCGGGTGTACTCATGTGGGTTAGAGATCCAAGTTCTGTAGAGGATGCCTTGCTTGGTTGTGCATAGTAGCAACTTGGAAATGGGTCAGGGAAGACACTTTGATACACTGAGATATGTCAGCTGGCAGTTGTTTCCTGTGGAGCAGTGAGACTGGCTCTGTGGTCTTTAAGGGGAAGGTTTTCCCCTCAATGCCCAGACCATTTACTCAGGTTGCGTGCCAAGGTGAGACAGGCCTTACCCATTAGCTACGTTCTTGGCTCAGGTGCATGTTCTGAAGGACCATGATCCATATTATTTCAAGGGATTTAAAAAACCCCAAACAAGTTCATGACTACTTTGGACTGTGTGAAAGTGTTCCACAGGAGAGGCAGAACTGCAAGAGGATCACTGATGTAACCACATCTGTGCAAAAGGTTGGAGTGTCAATGAATGTGTCCTTGCGTGAACAAAAAATTTGTGTCCGCCTCTGTATGTGGATATCCACATCAGTAGATGCAGATATCTGCAACTTTATGGTGTTCTAAATACAAAATTTGTATCCACAGCCACAAAAATGAGCATGGATATCTGAGGATTTGCAGGGCTCTGCCAGAGAAGTGCGGGTTGGCACAGAAAAAAGACCAGAGAAGGGCAGTTGTGGTAGCTGAGAGCATCCCAGAGCATCAGGAAGGACCTGTCTTGCACACATACCAAGTACATTGCTTTGAGGTTCTCAAATTCCTGTGAATAGAAATAGGAATATTCATGCTGATGAAACAAGAGGGTGAGCGATAGGAAGTGGGTTCAGAGACATGCAAGACACAAATATGAGTACGAGAACCGATTGTACAACTAGGTTGTGAATCACATTGCTTCTGATCTCGTTGGAGATGGGAAGGGGCTACCCACTATATAAATATCACAATTATTTATGATGACCCATAAAGTATCCCTGGAAGCTGAATCATGAAGTTAATTGTCACATTAGGCACAGGGATGTTTACCTTGCAAATCTCAATGGATTTCATTGGAAGTGTGAGCACTCAGATGCTTTCAGAGCAGAAAAGGTTAGCCTGATAGGCCTGGCACTCTAAAAGCAGTCTCATGGTGCAAGGATATAGCATGGGAATAAACCAGAGAGAATGGAAGAGTCCAGAGAGAGATGGACTGGTAGAGCATGTATGTGCAAGAGGGTCTCCGTAGATAAACAAATTCTTATCAATTAAAATGTTAGCTGCCGCTAGGCACATGTATATGCTATAGCAGGAGTGAGGAAACCTACAGCTCACAGTCTGGATTTGGCTGTAGCTTAATTTTATCAGGCCCATGGCAAGTCTCACCCACCTCCTAACCCCACACAGATGGAGCCTGGAGCATCGGCTCATCCTGCTGCAGGGTCAATGCTCTCCACGAGGTTGGAGCTGTGAGTGCCACTTCTCTCTGCTGCAGGGGGAAGCCCCAAGCCACTGCACCCCCTTAGGTGGGAGAGCTGTGTGTTTTATGCTTGTCTCTTTTAAAATAAACAACTACGGTAAATTAACTTGCTTTTTACTTGTGTGTGGCCTGCGATGGTTCCAAACATCAGACTTTACCTAGTTCATTAGTACACAGAAGGCGCCTGCTAAATAGGGTTTATGACAGCTGATTACAGACTACCAATGTTGTGCAGCACCTAATTAAATTAAATTACTGTTGTTTTTAGTAGGACTTTATGGGCTTGATCCTGCAGTTCTCTGAGTCAAAGCAGCCATTGAAGTGAATGAGGGTTGGGCACGGTGTCTGTCACTAAAAATTGAAAGGGTGAAAAGAAATAGAATCAGAGTAGTAGTAGGAGCTGCAAGAGGCTCAGAGCAATGGGGTAGGAAACTGTCTTCTTCTGACAGATATAGTGGCTAGTCATTTGGATTCTGCTTAGGTTGTCTTTGGAAGCCCCTCCTAGCACTCACTGATAGTAAATCAAAAGGCAATAGAAATACACTACTGCATTCAATCCTAAGTGTCTGCATATGCCCCTATAAATGAACGTAAAGCCCTGGCTACCCAGTCACTGTAGCTTCTGTACTTGGGTCAGTATATAAAAGGAGTACTCGGTTAGGAAGTATCAGATTTGCAAAGAAGACCTGCAAATACCTGCAATGTTCAGGCATGCTATAACTTTACCTGCAGAAAATGAAAGTGTTAATCCTAATAGTCGAACAAACACAGCAAATGGTTTAATGCTCCTTAGCTGGATCAGCCTAAGTATCTAGTAAGTACACTTACAGGTTGTGGTGCTGCTAATTTTGGTATCTTTCAATACCAGCTCTTATAATCTCTGTTTGAGATGAAGGCTTGTCTACATGGGGATTTTACATTGAAGTAACTTTAGTTGATATGCCTGACAGGACCTTATGTCTACACGCAGTCTTTTTTTAAAGTGACTTTTTTAAAGAGTCATTTTTGCAGCTGCATTAAGTAATCCTCCATGGAACAGGAGTAACTCCACTTCGTGGTGACTTTGCTTTAAGGTTCCTATGATTCCATGGCTCTGCTGCTGGCATGTGTTGCACTACATTGTTTTTCACCTGCACTAGTCTGCCTGCGTACTTGTGTGGACACCACTACTCCAGGGTCATCTTCTCTGGATGGCACCTCTCCATTTACATGCATGTAATAGTGAGTTCATACACTGGGGTCTTATTCCTACTATAACAGCTGTACCCTAGAGCTTCCACATGGATGCCTGCAGAGCTCCTCCTGGACTTGACTGCCCTCTTTGGAGGGCTGCCTGTCCAATCCCGTCTCTCTCCAGACTGCAGATATGTACAAGTCTGTCAGAGCAAATGAGGAAAAAGAGCTAGCCCCAGGGCAGAGTCCAGGAGCAGAACCCAAAGGCAAGGCGAGAAAGGCCTCTCTAGTAATGCTTCCACTATCTGCCCATGCTAGGAGGACCTGGAACACATTTTGGCAAGTGATGCCACCACTGTGCTCAAGAATGATGTGGTAGCTGGTTTTCACAAGACAACGGCAGGCAGCCTGACAAGCACCCTGGATCCTGCATAGACCATAGGCTCTGAAAAGGCACAGATATTTTTTTTGAACAGGTCACACAGTTCTTGGCTTTGAACAGGTCACACAGTTCTTGGCTATCAGATTTGGAGACTACATAAGAACCCCCTGTAGACAGCTAGACCTACTGCTCTGCAGGGTACCTCTAGTATCAGCCAACCTGAAAACGTTGCTGAGGGAAGCTGCTCAGTGTTGTCTTGTTGAAATCCCCTTATGCTGTGTGCTGTATTGTGACTTTTTCTGGGTATTGTGTGGCAATGTTAAATTTTGATGAATCAGCGAATCGAGTAGTTGATGGAATCTCCATGGACTACTCAGTCAGGGTACATCTACACTACTGCATTATTTTGAAATATCTTATTTTGAAATAACTAATGCATCTACACACACAATGCATTTCAAAATAGCCGGTTCTCAGGTTTCCCTGCTTGCTTGCCTACCTCAATGTGGGACAGCAAAGCATTTTTTTTCTGTGTGCTCTGGTTGCCCTCACTCAGGACACCACAGCACCCTGCAACATGGCACCAGAGCTGCCCCTGGGCACTCTGTTGCTTCTCATGGACATGTTACTGCGAGCCTGGCTGCACTTTCTGCAGGCTGCCATCAGGGAGGTCCATTGTGGGGCTGTCAGCATCCAGGAGGCCCTGTGGGAGAGCTTCCACCCTGAGGAGCACTAAGAGCCTCCCTGGTCTGCCCCTCTGGGGGCTTGTTCCTCTTTCCTCCCTCACGGCCTTCCATT